CAATCAATAATTGAAAACGTTGAGATTAAAGGGCATATATATATGCCCTTTAATCTCAACGTTTTCAATTATTGATTGCCTCAGACTTTATCTGAATAAGTATATGTACCAAGTCCATTTTTAATATATATAAAATCACATGTATAGCAAACAAATTCCTTGTCCAGTCATAACTGACATCTTTCAAAAGCTCTGAAATACACAAAACTTGGAACATATGCATCAGCAGTTTAAAACCACACAGCTGTGCAACACCACAGTCAAGGAAGAAAATAGGCAAATTTGCCAGGCAAAATGCAAATGCCCAGACTAAAATTCAATCTGATCATAATATTCTATTTTCTGTTATAATGCGAATGGAGGGGGGGGGGGGGGGGGCATTTTTAAAGGAATAAAGACAAGCATATCCTTTGTAATTATCACACGTGCTCAGAATTACAGATTGAGTACTTTTTCAAAAGAAAACATGAATAATGGGACTACTCTGTATTGAGCTGGAAAAATGATTTTGTCTCACTGGGTAAACTCCTACCTCAGAATCTCTTTGCGATTCAAAAGCAACTTGATTAATAGGGCAGACATTCATAATTTTACACTTACATGACTAGATCTAAAACAATGAATTTCATTAACTGCTTAAAAATTACAATGCTAAACCTACTGTTTAAAACTTGCATGCACTGACTTTATTACAGCTTGTTTTAGTACAATTATGAGTTTTTCATTTCATAAAGAAAGAAGAGAATGTCAAAAAAAGATCCTAAACAACTGAAAAGCTATCTGTTTTGCAGATGTTTAGCTAAAGGGCTATTGAATAGTGATCTGGTTAATATTCTGAGACATCACAGCTGTCACAGAGACAGAAAGACATCCAACCACATTCAAAGCTACACCTTCATTGTCAAGTGCCCTGGCACAGACAATACCTTCAGACTCTGAATGTTCGTGCCACAATATAGGGCAACTGGCAATTCTCTTTTTTGCAATTGCTAATAGGAACAACACATTCTTATCTTATTAGTATTTTGTTAATTGCTGCATATTTGTAAGACCTGAGCAACTATTGTCTTTCATCCAACCAATATAGTTACATAGCCAATACCTTATTTTAAATTAAACTAGACTTAGAACAAGCATGTTCTTTCTAAATGAAGGGAAATTATATCAATAAGTGTTTTTTTTCCAAATGAATTAACTCTCTGCTAATTTCTTCTGTTCATTTAAAATTGCTTAGTAATAGGAATGGAAAGGAAAGGTCCACATGACTTAAATATAAGCTCAGTTCTACTCCCTTTAAAAATTATATTCAAGCTTCCATAGATGGAAAAAAATTTAAGATAAGACCTTGTGACACCAAAACTAAATGGCATGAAGCTCATCACTGAGAGCATTTATGACTGAACACAACAGAGAAGTAGAGATATGCAAAATAAAAAACCTAACATCCAATTAATGACTTGTGTCTGGACTCTAGGACTATAATCGAACATTGGAGCAAACAGAAATAATTTTGAGGATGATTTTAAAACCACTGAGAGAAGATTTTACTGACAGTATATGTCACTTGGAGTCAGTTGCTTAATTAGTAATGTGATAATCACTCTACCAACTTTTTTTTCCCTTTTTTTTTTCTTTTGAAATTCTGCAAAAAGCCTCCTATGGTTTAACTTCTAGGAGGAAAAGAAAAAAAAGATAAAAGAGAGGGACTATAACTTGGAAACTCATCTGTACAATAAAGTTCACCCTCACAATATTATTTCAAAGGAAATGCACAATTCTAATAACACAGGATACAGTGTAGAAACCACACATATCTTATAAGTTTATATTCTGAACAACAGAAATTCTCTGAGGGCTATATTTTAAACTGAGTCTGCTTAATGAAATTTATACAAATAACAAATTATGCCAGAGATGTAAGCTCAGTGATCATACTTATGTATACATCCATACACTATAGAAATTAAATACTACAATCATGCCTGGGAATAAAACCACAGGCATACACATTCCCATCAAAATTACTGGGTTTGCCAGTGTATAAAGTTATTTACACATATGACTATTTCTGTCTCAAGCTCTTAATTATTTGTGCCTGCAAAATGCTTTGGTAAATCTTGAAGACTAAAGATGAGCCTCAATGTTTAATTCAAGTGAAATTTAAGAGTGACTATCCATAGGTTTAAATTAAATGTTAAAAAAAGGTAGTTTAAAATTTATTTTAAAACATAATTATAGCTATTTGAAGTTCCTTATGCTCACGTCCATCTTTAGGAATGAAGCTGAATTCAAATAAATATCAGCCTTGGAAAACAGTAGGAATGTCAGCCACAGTTTTCCAACTTTTTTTCCCCAAATGACTCCATGACTATCAAATTACATTTCAACAATATCTACTATCATGGCGATTTTAAGGATATATTTAGATATTTCCCCTCATAATTGAGCATTTAAAAAGTACATTTTCTCATAGTAATTTTTTATTTCCTTATATTCAACTATGAGAAGGAAATGAAAACAGATGAGTAATGTTGTCTGAACAGTATCTTTTTTCCATACAGGTGAACACAGGATGAACTGTCATTTTTTTTTTTGGGGGGGGGAAATGTTCAGAGACTTCTCCCCTTTTCTTTGAAGTTTTGGATTTTTTTTTTATAAGGTTCCACAGACAGATTCTGTGGAACACATCCTACAATGTCATTTTAAAGGAAAATGCAGAGCCTGTCTTTCAGTTTATAATTTTATTGTGCATTGAGGGTAAAAACAAATGCAGTTGCTGACTTTGTCACTAATTCTCCTTCATACCAGCATGTTTATGCTCTTTTAATAATTCAAGAAGCCCTAGAATCTCATGTTAACATTCTGGGTTTTTTGGTAAGAATAAGTTGTCATGGCATACTGCCTTCTAATTCATACATCCAAAAGACAATTGCAGAATATCATAACTTTTTGGATTCCTCATAAAGGATTTTTGATCTCCTGTCATTAGAGTGGTAACATTTTATATCATCATTGGCCAGTCCACATCATCTTATGTTTCTTCCTCAGTACACAGTAGGAGCAGTAAAAAACTAAGTGAAAGGAGGTTACAAAAACACTTTCAGGGTCACAGAAACACTTGGTCTCTGGTTCAAGAACTAGTGATGTATAGATAGATGAATGCTCATTTCCTGTTTACTATTGACACTGAGCCTCACTAAAAGTCCTAAGCACATATCTTGGGCAGAACCCTTAACCAGGAATTCCTGTATTTCACAACTATTTAAAAATTATGGCCTAGACACTAGACAAACTTGTTAAAGAACACTTTTACAACACTTTTTCACATTTTATCCAGTCTACTATGAGAAAGTGCTTTGCAAAGTATAAAAATGAATAGTCTTTATCCACAATATTTAATAGTAGTAGTCTCTCAAAAATGCACTTTTCCTGTCGAACATCACTACACTGATTACAGGAACACTTTTCTTTTTTAAATAAATGATAGGGTTCATTGCACTGAAGAGTTCAGTTCACTCACTAATTCATGAGTGACAGTGTGAGTCATCAAAAATGCTAAGAGCACTCAGTCTAGCATATCAAACAAGCTATAAAAATCATATAGTTTGTACTACATAAAACATGTTGCAAAGGGGTTTGCAGAATACAAAACAAGTAATTGTGCACTCCATGAATAGGAATTATTTTGTGCAGTAAATTACTAAATCTAAAAAGATTCCCATTTACTGATGGAATGGGTTTTTTCCACTTTCCAGCTGACCACCTCTCTCCAGTTTTCAGTGTAAAGCAAGTCTATTAGTAACGAATACTATATTTTTTATGGTATTATCAGGATTGCTAGACTCACAGTCATCAACCAAATAATCATTACTGTACACTAGCAAAACAAAAATTGCATCCATTCTTGGCAAGGTCCTGCACTGTTTACTTATAATTCAAACAACTAGGAATCAGAAATATGCAAGGTGTGGCAAATAACATAGCTTACCTCTCTGTTGTTCTTTTCACCATATTGCTAAGGTAGAAATAATACCTAAAATACATACATATATTATTGTGCTTACCTCTACTGACTTCACGTTTGAAAGAACTTCGCATGGTTTCCAGGATTAAGCCAATAATCATACACAACAATAGGTGTTTTCTTTCTTTAAATGATTGAAATAACAATAATCGTCCCCGGAAGCCATTCTTGGGAGATTTTCAGACTGATTTCACAGATGAAAATGGTTCATATAGCTCCAAAAACTATTCAAGCCTTTTGAAGATTATCCAAGCGTAACTAAAGTCTCAGATTCTTTTGGATGTTCCAACATCCTGGACCTACAGTACATGTACTATAACTTCATACAACAAAAAAACTGCTTGAATTAAATTGATTTGTATGGTATCTTCATAAGACCCAGGCAACAGAGACCATGGGTCCTCATCTCAAAACTAATGCAATAAGCAGCCGAGCAATTCTTTAAAGTGGATTTTGTGAAAAATGTTGAGCAAAAGCATCAGAAATGGTTTGTAAGAAGTTAGGATACCCATTTATTTTTATTTTCACTTGA